AGACACTGAAGAGATGGCTCAGAAGTTAAGCATGTTTACTACTTTTGTAGAGGACCCAAGGTTGTGTTCTCAGTACCAATATCTATGGGGAAGCTCATAACTACCTGTAACCCAGCTTCAGAGGACCTTATCGCCTCTTCTGGATTCCAAGGGTAGTCACACAAAGGTGACATGCATTCACCTACACTGGCACAGATACAAAATATTTGAAAGAAAAAGTTGACTGTCCTAAGCCAAGCATGGTAGCACATGCTCGTAATTCCAGCACTTGAAAAGTTGAGACAGGAGGGTTGCTGGGAGTTCAAGGCCAGCCTGAGCAAGACCCTGTCTCAAAATTGATACATAAAGGCTGAAAAGGATGGCTCTGTAGTAAAACATATGTACTTCTCTTACAAAAGATTGAATTTTGTTACCAGCACCCACATCCATGGGGTGGCTTACAATACCCTGTAACTACAGATCCAGGGGAACAAATACCTCTGTCCTCTGAGGGCACCTGCACTCATATTAGTGCTGATGTAGACACACACACACACACACACACACACACACACACACACAATAAATCACTGTGTGTGGTGGTATACAGCTTTGATCCCAGCACATGGGAGGCAGAGGCAGGCAGATCTCTGAGTTTCAGGTAAGCCAAAGCTACAAACATAGCGAGACCCTGTCTCAAGCATAAGTAAAATAAAAATTAAAAATTGAGTTTCCTCTTTCTTATTCTTTTTTGAAGTAGATTTTCTATGATGAACTTACCACATCTGACTCTTGGTTTCTTTGGTGTCTTGGACAGGACAGTTCAGAGTGATAGGACCGGCGCATCCCATCCGGGCTTTGGTTGGGGATGAAGCAGAACTGCCTTGCCGCATATCTCCCGGGAAGAATGCCACAGGCATGGAGGTGGGGTGGTACCGCCCTCCGTTCTCTAGAGTGGTTCACCTCTACCGAAACGGCAAAGACCAAGACGCAGAGCAGGCACCTGAATACAGGGGACGCACAGAACTTCTGAAAGATAATATCGGCGAGGGAAAGGTTACCCTCAGGATCCAGAACGTGAGGTTCTCGGACGAAGGAGGCTTCACCTGCTTCTTCAGAGACCACTCTTACCAAGAGGAGGCAGCTATGGAGCTGAAAGTGGAAGGTGAGTCTGCCGAGGTAATATGCAGCGTGACCTGCTGAGCAGTTGACTTCTCCTTTAGCTTCAGTCGTTCGCTAAGGTCTCTCCATCCAAACATGTCCGTTCTGAGATCAGTCCAGTAAACAGGGACTCCTATGCTGTGGTTGTTGGTTATTTTGTTATTTGAATTGGGAAAGAAACTGGGATCAAAGTCAGTGTGTTCATGGATTAAGAAATCGACATTAGATAAAAGATGATAGCTAAGCTAGACAAATGCTTTTGTACTTCAATTGTTTTGTCTTGTTTGTTTTGTTTTATTTTGTTTTTTGTTTGCTTGCTTCTTTTTTGTTTTCCTTTAATGATGGCTTTTCAGTATAATGACCTGGAACTCATTATATTGAGGAACCAGATTGGCCTCAAACTCACAGTAGTTCTCCCTTCTCTGCCTCCTAAGTGTTAAGAGCAGGGACTAAAGGCATGTGCCACCACAGCTAGCTTTGATTATATATAACTTGGGCAATCCTCCAGCCACAGCCTCTGGTGTGCTGGGACTAAAAGCATGAGTCACCATGCTCGGCTTAAAGTGATTGTTTTAGAACCATATCAGATAGCTTGGATGCTTCCCATGAGAACTTGTTGAGTGACATAAGCAAGCCATAGAATATAGGGAACAAAAGCATGTACCTGTGTTTGAGTGTATACTTACATACATGTATGCACACACACACATACTCAATATATGTGTATGTGTATATATGTGTGTGCATTATATGGCAGGAACAGAGAGAGAGAGAGAGAGAGAGAGAGAGAGAGAGAGAGAGAGAGAGA